TTTGGAGTTCAAGTGACTTGTTGAAGAGCAAAGCAATAGCAGGGACAAAAGTTCTGGAGGCTTTTTTGTAAATTAAAGTTGGTATCTCCTCAAGGGCACCAGACTTGGTTTTAAGGGAAAGGATTATCTCATTGACGTCAGTGGAGTTAATAGGCTTTAGGTACAGAGACTGTGGATAGTTACCTTTAAGATAGTCCTTAATGTCAGTACTGGAAGATGGAATATCATTTGCAAGGGATGAACCAATGGAAGAGAAGAACCTATTGAACTCAATAGCAGAATCAGAGGCTGAAAGCTGACCATCGTTATTAGACAGGAGAGTCGGTTTGTTATTTAAAGACTTCTTTGATCCCAATATTTGTGAAATTGTTCTCCAAGTTTGTTTAATGTTGCTCTTTAATTGGGTAAATTTATCTTCGTAGTATTTAGTTTTGGCTCGTCTAATTATCTTAGACAGCAATAATGAGTAATTCTTTGAGAATTCTTTGGAGACAATTCCTAACCTATATTTCTTCTCAAGGTCATGTTTTTTATTAATAGATTTAAGTATTCCCATTGTAAGCCAGGGATTGTTAAGCCTTTTGGTTGTGACTTGTTTTGTAAGCATAGGACAGTGGGTGTTATAAAGGCTAAGAGTTTTTTGAAGAAAAGATTGCACTGCTAGGTTGATGTCCACTATGTTACCTAACTCGGACTCCCAGTTGACATTATCAGCAGCAGTTATAAAATTGTCTATAGCAGTTTCATTGTGTAGTCTAAAACGTATCTCTCTTGACTCAAGAGGTGGTTTGCTAATGTTAGTTAAGAGAAATGTGGGGTAATGGTCTGTAGTGCTATCGGTGATTATACCTGAAGTAAGCGGAGAGGTTATGTTTGTCCAGATGTGATCTAGAGTCGTGGCAGTGCTATCAGTGATTCTAGTAGGTCTAGTGATTAAGGGTATGAGGAAGCAGGAATTCATACAGTTGAGGAAGCTAAGAGCAGTAGGGTGGTCCAGGACGGACCGAAACGTCGTCGTTTCTTCATCATTCTGGTGTGTGGTCTGGTGCTGAGCTTAACGCCAGCCCTATGGACAGATTTAACAATGTAATGCTTTATACATATCATTCTGCATGAGGACTTCACCCCTCTGGGAGCCGGTCGGCCGAGTGGACAGCATGCTGGACTTGTGATCCTGTGGTCCTGGGTTCGATCCCAGGCGCCGGCGAGAAACAAAAGGCAGTTTCTTTCACCCTATGCCCCTGTTGCATAGGGTGAAAGTCAGCTGTCACGGGCTGCTTCGTGGGGGTGGAGGCCTGGTCGAGGACCGGGCCGCGGGAACACTAAAAAGCCCCGAAATCTTCTCAAGATAACCTCTGCCATAGGCTTCTGCATCAGAAACTCACACCTCTTCCACAAGGCACACAAAGCCAAATTATTTAAATTCTAAACAATGACAATAAATTAAAAATAGCTTACATACACTTCACCTGTGAAAGTCTGACATTCTTGCGTGTGATTTATATGAAAAAAACACAAATCCAATGTTGTATTCCTTAACAATACACTAGTGACAAAAGCGGGCACATATATTAACAAGATACGTCCATCACTATAATGTAAATTAAATCATAAAATAAACCGGAATTGTATAAAAACGCTAAACAAATGTTTGTTATTCAAAATGGTGTTATCAACTGAGGAATCGTTCAACAAGTGAGATATTGTATGAACAAGTGAGATATCGTATTAACAGCTGAGATACCACATGAACAACTGAGATATCGTATGAACAACTGAGATAACGTATGAACAATTGAAATATCATATGAACAAGTGAGATATTGAATGAACAAGTGAGATATCGTATGAACAACTGAAATATCGTACGAACAGCTGATATACCAAATGAACAACTGAGATATCGTATGAACAACTGAAATATCATATAAACAGCTGAGATACCAAATAAACAACTGAGATATCGTATGAACTAGTGAGATATTGTATGAACAAGTGAGATATCGTATGAACAACTGAAATATCGTATGACTAACCGATAAATCCATAACTAGGCTATGATAAGCGGTATTACAAATACCCAATTACGATTAATAAACCCCAATTTATCAATACACGAACTAAATAATGGTACATGTCAGGTGTAAGTAAATTTAACTCATATGAGCACGGAGTTAGATATATTAATGCAAATTCAAGAACCCAAAAAATAAAAGCATTGAAGTAGGCTTCAATTTCAAGTATGGTTATTGAGACTAAGGAAAAAAATACGTCTCAAAGGGAGAGAGTAGCTTAGGCTATTTATAACCCCCCTTGAAGTAGGCTGTTGAAGATATTTTGACCAAATATATGTAGGCTGTTCATTACATAAACTGCATTGTAACACAAGTGTGTGACTTTATTCATTATTATTAATAATATTAGTATTGTGTTATGATTATTATCATTTATCTCTCATGTATTTTAGGTGTATAAAATACATGAGACAGGATACAGAGGAGTAGATACGGGTACAAAATTCATGCAGCCACAAATACACTGAGGCTTTCCGGCATAAGTTAGTATAATTAAGTAATTTATGTATAAATGTAATGGGGTAGGAACTTAATACTAAACGAGAACTAAGTTATCATATTTCAATTGTTACAGTAAATGAGATCAATGTATACTTGAGAGCATGTGAACTTATCAAAGTTGCTTTCATCATTGACCATAACTACACTTCTATGTGTCTTCAACATTCTGCGTGAACATGTGTTCAACAGCCTACAGCAACATGTGTTCAAGAGCCTACAGCAACATATGTTCAACAGCCTACAGCAACATGTGTTCAACAGCCTACAGCAACATGTGTTCAAGAGCCTACAGCAACATATGTTCAACAGCCTACAGCAACATGTGTTCAACAGCTTACAACAACATGTGTTCAAGAGCCTACAGCAACATATGTTCAACAGCCTACAGCAACAAGTGTTCAACAGCCTACAGCAACCTCATCCTGGCGGTATCCAGCAGTGTTCCTATTACATTTTTCACGAATGCATGACTTCCTACGTGGGCTTTCAGTCACTTGAGTCACTAGTCAATGATTCTGATTCCCTAAAGTCATGGCCCCATAACGCGGCGCACAGTGAGGCTTTAATTCGCTACACATAGTAAATATTCATTAATTACAGCCAGTTTTTAAACAGATTTCTTCACGAACACTTTCAAGATTTCTTTCTCGGTAAAAATGGTAAAATTCCAATATAATAATTCATGATAAACTTGGATACACGACACACGCTTATTTGGGCATACACTCTCGGGACGTTTAGTCACCCCGGGCCTAGGCTATCTTGAGGTTATATTGAGGTTATCTTGAGGTTATCTTGAGATGATATCGGGGCTTAGCGTCCCCGCGGCCCGGTCCTCGACCAGGCCTCCTTTTTGTTACACATCCCCAGGAAGCAGCCCGCAGCAGCTGTCTAACTCCCAGGTACCTATTTACTGCTAGGTAACAGGGGCATCAGGGTGAAAGAAACTCTGCCCAGTGTTTCCGCCTCCACCGGGGATCGAACCCGGAACATCAGGATTACGAATCCGAAGCGCTGTCCACTCAGCTGTCAGGCCTAACAGTCAGGCTATCTAAACACTTTCCCCACTATGCAATCCACAACAGTTGGCTAACTCCTGGTGTACCTGTTAACTGCTAGGTGAACAGAAGCATCAGGTGAAAGGAAACGTGCTCACCACTCTCTGCCCTGCCCGTGAATCGAACTTACAGCAGCAACAGCCTTAAAACTGAAGTGCCTCAAGTGTGAGGTAGCACCACACTCACTCTCAAGTGTGTTGACACTCGCGGCTGACCACGCCCACCTGGAGAGCAACACACTCGTAGCTGAGTAGACAGCGCTCGGGGGATCGTAATCCTAAGGGCCCCGGGTGCGATTCCCGGCCGAGGCGGAAACAAATAGGCAGAGTTTCTTTCACACTGATACCCCTGTTCACCTAGCAGTAAATATATAGGTACCTGGGAGCTAGACAGCTGCTGCGGACTGCTGCTCCCTAGGAGATGCGTGTACGCTGGAGGTAAATATATCTATAAATCCAACATTATGTTTGTAACTCATCTTTTATGTATGTACTTTTACCTAAACAAACATTTTGATTTTGATTTGATTTTTTGAATAGAGGAACAAATATATATATCAGTTAGAATATATATCAATATATATATCAGTACACTGGCGGAGCTGAAGAAGGTGAACAGGGAATGGTCTTCCTGAGAGCAAGTTAACACCTTCCCCGCTCAGGTTCACCTCACCGGGCCCGGTAGTGGCTGGCTAGATATCCTTACCGGCCCGGTAGTGGCTGGCTAGATATCCTTACCGGGCCCGGTAGTGGCTGACTAGATATCCTTACCGGGCCCGGTAGTGGCTGACTAGATATCCTTACCGGGCCCGGTAGTGGCTGGCTAGATATCCTTACCGGGCCCGGTAGTGGCTGGCTAGATATCCTTACCGGGCCCGGTAGTGGCTGGCTAGATATCCTTACCGGGCCCGGTAGTGGCTGGCTAGATATCCTTACCGGGCCCGGTAGTGGCTGACTAGATATCCTTACCGGGCCCGGTAGTGGCTGGCTAGATATCCTTACCGGGCCCGGTAGTGGCTGGCTAGATATCCTTACCGGGCCCGGTAGAGGCTGACAAGATATCCTTACCGGGCCCGGTAGAGGCTGACAAGATATCCTTACCGGGCCCGGTAGTGGCTGACAAGATATCCTTACCGGGCCCGATAATCTCCACAAGATCGCATAAGCACCTTTGTAAAACCTTATCACCGCAATATAATAACACCTTCCAAGGCTATACATAATTCCACCATGTTCATCATGTATTGAACATCGTAAACTTAACAGCCGCCCACCGAGGCCACTAGAGACAGTGGCCCCCTCAGGTAAATTCAGGCAAACACCTGCTCTAATATATATTACAAAGCTTAAAACATCAGGTGCCTCACCTTTCACTCCCTCGATGGTGACTGCTCTCCCTCTCAGCTCAGGGAGTATTGATCAGTGGTCTCAGCTTAGGGAGTACTGATCAGTGGTGTCCTCAGCTCAGGGAGTACTGATCAGTGGTCTCAGCTCAGGGAGTATTGATCAGTGGTCTGAGATCAGGGAGTATTGATCAGTGGTCTCAGCTCAGGGAGTATTGATCAGTGGTCTCAGCTCAGGGAGTATTGATCAGTGGTCTCCTCAGCTCATGGCGTATTGATCAGTGGTCTCCTCAGCTCATGGAGTATTGATCAGTAGTTTCAGCTCAAGGAGTATTGATCAGTGGTCTCCTCAGCTCATGGAGTATTGATCAGTAGTCTCCTCAGCTTAGGGAGTATTGATCAGTGGTCTCCTCAGCTCAGGGAGTATTGGACAGTGGTCTCCTCAGCTCAGGGAGTATTGATCAGTGGTCTCCTCAGCTCAGGGAGTATTGATCAGTGGTCTCCTCAGCTCAGGGAGTATTGATCAGTGGTCTCCTCAGCTCAGGGAGTATTGATCAGTGGTCTCCTCAGCTCAGGGAGTATTGATCAGTGGTCTCCTCAGCTTAGGGAGTATTGATCAGTAGTCTCCTCAGCTCAGGGAGTATTGATCTGTAGTCTCAGCTCAGGGAGTATTGATCAGTGGTGTCCTCAGCTCAGGGAGTATTGATTAGTGGTGTCCTCAGCTCAGGGAGTATTGATTAGTGGTGTCCTCAGCTCAGGGAGTATTGATTAGTGGTGTCCTCAGCTCAGGGAGTCTTGATCAGTGGTCTCAGCTCAGGGAGTCTTGATCAGTGGTCTCAACTCAGGAAGTATTGATCTGTAGTCTCAGCTCAGGGAGTCTTGACCTGTCTTCCCCTCAGCTCAGCATATATTGACCAATGCCCTAGTGTATTGACACCTACAGTCCATCACAATATACCATAACCACCTCTGTGCGCCACATTAACAATCACAAGCTTCGAAAACACTCATAAAACGAGGCTAATATTTTCTTTTCGATCGCCCTTCGTAACACGCACGTTTCGTACACCCGAGGAAACACTATATTCAGTAAGCACTAGAACACCGTAGAGAGCAGCGACACCCTCCCTCCACCAGCACCAGATCATTAATGACTGCATTAGGGCCCTTCGACCTTCACATGGAACATGGGAAAACGTGTCGTACGGCGCATGCCCCCGACCCTATGAAATAGAGTACAATACATATATATATATAATAGCTTCTGTATGTCCGTTGTTTATTTTATTATTATATATATATATTTTTTAGGTATATGGGAAATGTATTTGTGTGAGGAGTGGTGTAGTGAAGGAAGAATAATGAAAGGCGAGGGAATGAAATGAAGGTAGCAGTGAATGCAGTGTATACCCGGAATTATTGGAGATCTCGAGTGTCCATATATGTGGGTCCTGGACGGTGCTGAGCACACCAGTAGAGTCTACAACCTGTGCCGACATGAGCAGTGTCACGTCATAGTGACGTCACAATCCCCCCCCCTGCTCATGATATATGAACACAACCTCCCTCCTTATCATATATAAACACAATCCCCTCTGCACATCATATATGAACCCAAAAATTTCATCTCTAATCCTCGTTGGGTTAGAATAGGTTAGGATAGTTTAGGATACGCTATGGGATAGCCTAAGAATAGGTTAGGCTAGTTGGCTCGATAGAGAAGCGATGACGTTGAGTGGTACATAGTTTTCTTGGGTGTTAGATCCTACTCAATCTAATTCATTATTTTAAGTATATATTTTTTTTTAATCTGTAGCCTAGGAGGATTGCCTTATTTAGACCGTTGATCCGCGGGTCTGTTGTGGTATGCGCTTCCTTGATGACATTACACAACTATTTGTTAGTAAACAACTGCTGGAAGAGGCATAGCCTTGGTTATGCCAAATAGAGGATAATATAAACTTGAATTAACTCGTATAATTATACCCAATTGTTCTGGCAAACTGTAATTACCCCCCATGCCCGAATACAGCCCAGATTCCTGCTAGGACGGACTCACCTGCCTGTTATGGGCAGCAGGGCGTTAGGTAATCCCAGTGTGATGCCACATAAGGTGAAGTGAATGTCTAGGCTTGTGCTATACCCAGAGGTGGGCATGAATAATGTATACACCCACGGCATAATGTGGAGGAGGAGACTGGTGGTGTGTCACGTGTGTGCAGGTGTGTGTGTGTGTGTGGGTATGTGTGTGTGTCACGTGTGTGCAGGTGTGTGGGTATGTGTGTGTGTCACGTGTGTGCAGGTGTGTGTGTGTGTGGGTATGTGTGTGTGTCACGTGTGTGCAGGTGTGTGTGTGTGTGGGTATGTGTGTGTGTCACGTGTGTGCAGGTGTGTGTGTGTGTGGGTATGTGTGTGTGTCACGTGTGTGCAGGTGTGTGTGTGTGTGGGTATGTGTGTGTATCACGTGTGTGCAGGTGTGTGTGTGTGGGTATGCCCCTCACAGTAAACCTTGGTGCCACAGTCT